AAGTAATAATAATAATAAAGTAAAAATGCTACACTATCAGCTTGTGGTTATCATTGAAATAATTGGTTGGGGTTGTTGTTGTAGTAGCTTTGGAAACCATACTAACATATAATTCTAATAAAATCTGATTCGTTAAATAAAAAAAAACATACACATATAAACACTTGAAGTGAAAATTTTCAGTTATGATTGAGAAAATGTCAGACTAGGGAAAATAAAAGGGAAGTATAAAAAAAAATACACTAATAAAGTGTATCTAATTATTACAATAAGAAAAAAAAGCCATCCTTTTCTTCCATTGAAATGTTCCCACACAATTTCTTCACCTCACATCGCCTGCTTTCTCTTACGAAGGGTAGACGAATGTCTTCGCAGTTCCAGGGAAGATAGCTCTATCTTTTTTCCTTATCCTTCCCCTCTCATTTTCGTCTTCCAGAACGTTTTATCTCCATTCACTGTACACCATCTCCGCAAATTATCGCTATTAGGATGATTATTTAGTAATATCTCCTGCCGCCGCGCGAAGATCCTCCGCAGCCTCGCGCACTCCACAGCAGCAACATTCATCATCCCTTCTTCCTCTCTATTACAATTAGTATAACAATGGTTCGTATAGCCTCCTCCCATTCCCTCACCTCCCGAGTTTCTCCTCATATTTGCCGTCGGATTCCTCTGTCTGGAGCAGCCAAGGTGGTCTTGATAAAGAAAAGGCCGCCGCTGAGGTGGCTGAATGAGATGAATTCGCCCGATTTCAAGCAGATCCCACCGCTTGGTCCTTTCCGCTTGAAATCCCCTTTCCTTTTCTCCGTCCACTTTTCGCAATCCTCCAAAAGCCGAAGGCGGCGCGGGGGGGTGAAACCTCGGCTGCCCCCACGCAGAGGCGTCGTAGCGCAAAGTCGGGGGCGGAAAAAAAGAAGAAACCCCCCGCGTCCGGCCACTCTGAGGTCGTCCCTGGACGTCTTTTGGACTAAAAAGGTCGTTGTTTTCGTCTTTGGGATGGTAAGGTTCGTCGTTTTCGTTGGGTTTTGTCGGCGAGGTTTGGATTGGTGGGGTCGAAATTAAAGGGGCCTCGCCATAGCTGATCCCGCAGGTCGGATCCACACGACTTGGCGTGTATTTACTAATTTCATTACTATTATGAGTGGTGGTAGTGGTCGTATTGGAACGACTTTTTCCACGTCGTGGCGATTTGAAAACGAACTTCACGGCCTTTTTCGAACTCCCTCCGCGCGGGGGGGGGGCCAAGGGGAAAACAAAAGTCGGTGAGGGCGAAAGCGGCGGTTTCGACATCGTCGAGGACAAGGAATCTCGAATCGAACCCGCCCCCGCGGTAAAACTGTTGTTCTCACTCAGAAGCGAAGACGAGCGGGAGGCTCTTTTCGGGTTCACCGCCGCGCGAAGGCCCTGAAGTTCGGATTCAAGAGCGTCGATATGGGAATCCTTCTCCTGTAGGGTGAGTTTAAACCAAGAGAAGTACGAACGCATATCCTCCAGCGTCCGCGCGGGGAGATCTGAAATGCGACCGGCTAAATAATCCCGCACGCGCGAGTGAAGAGCAATTAAAACATCAGAATCATCCACACTCGCCATTTCCCACAGGACTCTAGCTCAGAATAAATAAATAAATAAAAATAGAAAAACACCTCAGTGGTCGATGATTTAGGCCACTACCACGCCCTTAACAGATCTATGATTGCGTTCGAAGTGGGAAAAAACGTATCTTAAAGGTGAATATATCTATTTATTTCTTTTTATTATTTTATCTTTTAGTATCGCTATTGAATCGGCAGCCCTTTCGTCTGAAGTATAGAAGTGGTAATTAAATGACGGCAATACAAAGATGCTCTACGTCACGAGGGGTACACGCCAAGCCCTTCACAGAATCGGTGCTACGGTAATATCAATTCTAGATTAATATGTTTTCACTTTATCAAGAATAGAAAAAACTATAATTTTGGTTGTGTAAAGCCTAAATCTACAGACAGTAAGCCCAAACAGTTTATAAAGAAAAATAGGTGAATTTTCCTTGAATGCATGTGTTCGTATTTGCTTATAGATAACATCATACTAAAAAACGCAGTGAGTAGTTTAACAACAGTAATAATAACTATTATTATTATTATTATTATTATTAAATAAATAAATGAATATAAATATATAGATATATATTTATATATACTATGCAACATTTTGATGTTTTTCATTATTACTATATCAAAAAAAAGCTTGTGTGGACACACTCTCCGCATATTCTAAGCGATATAATCACCACTTTCATTTTCAATCTTTTCTTGATTAAATATAATGCACGTTGATGTTTTTGACACCAGTTTAAAAATAAACCATAAATACAATATTCCCTCTTTTGTTCAAAAAATATATACAAAAAAAAGGATAGAAAGAGGGATATCACGAGGAGCACCACAACAGTCATAATTAGTTTAAAAAAAGGCTTTTGAAGTTAAAAAGGATTAACTGAGATAAATCATCACTAGATGTCATCCCAATAACTCGCACCCCCCTATACGCCGCTTAACAAGAGAGAAAAAGTATAGGGTGGAACTCGTAGGTGTTTCCGTCCCTTACACTATGATTTCACTAATAATCGACTTGTTCCACTGAATAAAAAGAGAAAAATTTAAAATCTGATTTATATTTTTCTCACTCAACATCAGACTATACCCCCCCCCCCCCTCTCCCTTCCTCCATTGTAAAAGCCGAAAACCTTACAAGTTAAATCAGATAAACAAGTAAGAAAAAAAAGGTTCATTGAGGGATATATTTACATAGTGTGTATTAACTGTAAAACTAAGAATCATAATTTAAAATACTAATAGTAAGTACCATTGAAGCACGCCAAGAATAAAAATAAAGAATTCCCAATTGAATAATGAGCGATTAGATGTCTAAACGTTATTCACTTATTTAAGAGATTGCAATATTCCACATATAAGAGGACTTCAGTATGTTATTATTTTTCTTTTCCCCTGTGAAATACGAAAAGACTCTAATATCCAACATAGCTCGTAATTATTACTCAGGACTTTATCTTAAAGAAAAGGAAAAAATATTTTGTCCATTAAAATCGGCTACGCTACATGTTCCCCTGCAGGGTAACTCTTGTGAGATATATTACGGCGCAGACTATCTAGACAATACTATCTAATAAAATATCGATATAATATACATATACATAAATATATATATATATATATGTATATTACAATTAAAACACGTAGGCAATCATTTACATCCATTTCCATTGTTTCGGATAGGAGGAAAAAGGGTGAGAGGGGGGGAGGGGGGGGAGGAAGGAATAAAAAAAGACGAAAATTATTTCTGAACTCCCCTTTACTAGCATATTTTATCATCCCTCATGTTTTGCCAATATTAGATTATCCTTCTGATGTCTTATACAACCCTCTATTGATATATATATGTATATATCAATATACCCGAAGAATTGTCAATCTATTCGATCTGGAGCATGTAGATATTTCCAAAGGCATCCCCACACGCCGCGTACGCGTTACTGCCGACAGTAAGGCAGTAGACCGGCGCTCTCACGTAGGTACTCACAACTTCATTTCCTGTCTGAATGTCGATAATATACACAAAACGATTACTACAGGCCGCAATGCAATAATCCGTAAACCCCCCCGGCGCCCCACAGGACAAGGTCCACGTGAGCTTACTACTCGCATGACTATTATTCATATTGTCATTCCCCCTTTTTAGGGGATTTGGGATGAAGGTCACATTGCCTGCGATATCCGTTGGCGATAATTTCAACACGCTGCATCCATTCTTGGCAAGCCAAACCCGCAGCGAGGCCTCATCATTGCTGATAATATACCGTCCGTCCGAAGAATAACTACAGGATAGAATAATCCCGCGATGCCCAAGGAGGGTAAACCGCGTCTTCGCGCTCGTTGCCGACCACACCCGAAGTGTTTTATCCGATGAGGAACTGCAAACATACTTCCCACACGGACTAAAGGCAAGAGAGATGATAATACCTTTATGTTGAGAATACGAAATCCACTCTCGCCCGCGTGAGGTATCCCAGAGTCGGCAAATGCGATCCTGGCAGCCGCTCACCAAATACTTGCTATCTGGCGAAAAACGACAGCAAATTACGACTTTTGCGTGCTTGAGGGTTAGCATCCGCTTTGTCGTCATGACATCCCACACAATCATCGTTGTATCCTTGCTCGTCGTCGCCAGGTACTTTCCATCAGCAGAGAAGCTCGCGCAGATGACGTTGTCAAGATGGCCGGTGAAAATCCCCACCTCGGCGCGCGCGTTCATGCTGAAGAGGGAGACGGACGCGTCATCGGTGCCGCAGCTCGCGAACTCCCGCTCGGACGGAGTGAGGGCCAGGCACTTCACCCGGCTCGAGTGCCCGAGGAAGGTCCTGCAGCTGAGGCGGCGGAGGGGGGTGGGAAACGGGGGTGGAAAAAGAGGAAGGGGGGAAAACTCGCAGGGGAGCGCGGCCGCCGTCGCCAGGAGGGGGGCTGTCACAGCGGTGACGGCAACGTCCGTCATGGCCGTCGCGAGCCGCGGTGTCGGGGTTGTCACAGGCGCCGGAATGCCCCTGACCGGGGTTGTGACGGTAATGGAAGTCAGGGCAGGGGGGGGACCTCGCGTGGAGGGGCTCCCGGGCAGGCCCGCGTTGAGGGG